TCCGATGATACGTGCTAAGCTTTCATCCGTCATTATCGGACAAACATCATCAGACCAGGACACCATCCTTCCAACCATATTCAAGCTAACGAGCCACGTGATGGATGAAAGCTGCACACGTTTTGACGGGAGATTGCCTCGTAGACAGCGTCGTCAAGAATGTTCCAGTGCAGCCGAACAACAGGTGTTCCAGAGGAATCTGCTGGTGCCATCCACCAAACGCATTGCTGCAAAATGGAAGTGAGCCAGCAGATTCCTGGAAGCCCGATTCACATTCAGAAGCCAAGCAAGAAGGTGAATAGAAGGGGGAGGGTCAGGCTGGATGACCTACTCTGCAGAGAAGATCTGCATCTACCGGCTGGCTGTACGCGTAAAGATGCGGTTCTGTAGGCGTATGGTATCGTCCACAGAAGAAGCACAACAGCAGATCGGCATAGCGACAGTCTGGTGAATCAGTTGGCATGGCAGACTCATTGTTGCCGGCCGGGGCTTGGGAGGCGATGGAGTGTGCAAAGGAGGAAGTGACTGGTCGAGTTCCGGTCGAATCGAGTTGTCCGTCAAACGAGGAAGAAGAGCTGGAGGGTAAGGCGGCGAACCCGCTGGCGTACGGAGAGGTTGCCGGATAAGTTGGTTCGACGACAGCGTTTGTTCTGTTTACACACTTTCTGGAGCCCAAGAGTGCGTCCGTGTTGGTGACGGACCTGTTGCTAGGGTGGACGAGTTGCTGGCTGGGAGAAGGGCAAACGATGCCATTCGCAGAAGTGCATCCAGTCCGAGAGGCGGTAGGCAAGAGCCGAAGGCTGGGCTGAGGCAGAGTGGGAAAAACGCAGGTGAAAGCGGATCCGACAAGAGGAGGAGCGTTCTTCTGGCCAAAATCAACAAACGAGTGGATGAGAAGAAAAAAGAGATGATCAGGTTTAAAACGGGAAATAAAATGGTTAAAAATGTATCAGATATGCTTTGTAGGTGAACTGGAGACAATTCGCATTCTCTCGACACGGGATGCTCGTTTAGGGGGTATGAAAAGATGACAAAAATGGAAATAAATTGAGTCAGATTATCACAATTTAAGCGTTTATGCAAAATTCGTGAACACCAGACTGCATATGACCACAATGGAAACTCATTATCCGGATCGGTGCAGGGGCTTGGCCAGCCACATAATATGCAACGACTTGCCAAGTTCAAGACGCTTCGAAAGCTAACAAGTCTGGCGGCAATAAAAGAAAAACCTTCGTTGCCACCACAACTGTATGTAACATTGAAAGCAATTTCTGAAGAAGGCCAGCCTGACCCTCCGTATGCCAAAAGTGATTAGAAAAGGTCAAATTCTATGCATAAAATTTCATTCTACAACTCACTAGAGATGATAAACAATGTAAAAATGCAACATTGCTCTATACTTTATTGATAAAGAATGTGCAGACAAGTGGAAATCGGTAAGTTGAAATGGGCTGAGCCAGGTTTGTAGATAAAGATAAATAAAAAACTCGGGATTGTTGAGCTTACGTCCATTTCGAGTAAGTGTTGGGTGAAGAGATTCGAAGATTCACGCGGACGCTGTTTCCGAGGCAATCTGCTTCGATTCCGTTGAAAAGGTGATAAGCTTTCGTCCGTCACATGACCAACATCATCAGAGCAAGGTATCATCGTTCCAACCAAATTCAAGCCAACGAGTCAAAAAAACTGCATCGAAGTTGACATATGACCTTAACTAACCAAATCACTTTATACTTGATCAAATGTAGAGTATATATACCACTTTTCACGGATTTGCCGGTGAGTTTTGTTGATGATGATACCTTGTTCTGATGATGTTCGTCATTTGACGGACGAAAGATTAGCACCTTTTCATCGGAATCGAAGGCGGTTGCCTCGGCAACAGCGTCAGCATTAATCTTCGGGAATAAGCCAATCGACAGTTGGTCTTCTGGTGGAACCGACCATCGAATCTCTTCACGCAACACTTTCACTTGAAATGGAAGTAAAATCAACAATTGTGAAACAAGAGATTGCTCGAAACGCAACTTTTCTTCGCAAAAACTCGACAAACAAACGTGATAAAAAAGCAACAGCAAGTCGTAAAAACCACAATTATCGCACAATTATTACACATAATTATATTATATTATTGTACGTTATAATAATAAGGCATAATATTGTCACCTCAACCTAGTCCGTTGTACCAAATTATCTCATAGAATCTCTTTGTCTGATTATAGAGCCAAAAGGAATACTTTAGCCAATGTGGTTCAAGTGATGAAATAAAGTCATATTATTTCATATGTCTATAATAATCCTATTCGATTAGTTGTCATGCGATCCGTAACAGAGCTCCTGTGCAAAAGCACTTCTGACCATCCTATAGAAGACTGAACAACAATCCAATAATGCAAATCGGAATTGGTTTGAATCATGGTTATGGCAAACCAACCATGGAAACTAGCATTGCAGGATCCCACTACAGGTCAGTCATATTCAGACACATACAAATACATTTCACCCGACAGCCAACATGTCAAGAAAGATATCGAATGCCCAACTAACTTATCGTATCGTCGACATGAAGACCAAGATTGTGTGGCCATTCGAAGAGTGTTGGTATGACCTCGTTTTCACAATCTGGTCGGAGCGACACAGAGACTTTGTGCCACAAAACTAGTCCTGTCTCATCTGCCCTGGAGGATTTATGATGATGTACAGCATCAGACCGATGGCTTGGTACATTCCCAAGCGTTTTACCGGCGTCGCCAGTGGGAGATGTAACTCTTGGCGCTAATTTATAACTTATGCCTTGTCACTGTGCAAAGGAGGGCGTGTCTCATCGACGATAGCAACTACGCGTCCTGGAATGTATCAAGTCAAAGGTCCAATGCTATAAATCGTGATGACTACTCGGGGGCGGAGTAGGCAAGACCGAGTACGTACCACAAGTTCTCCCTTGAGGCGAAACGAGGTCATGTCAACAGTAAGTAATCGGATGTCTCATTAACTTTTTTAATAAAAGGTTGCAAGAAGTAGGTTTCGATTGAGGCTAAGTCAGATTGTACATTTATTGCTTCATCAATTTATGAAAGAATAATGATTTGCCACTCAAGGATGGATCGGGATCGAAGGATGATGCGATGAAGAATGAAAAATAATTCGCTTAATTAGCCTAGCCTTCCCTCATATCTCTCCTAAAACATGTGGAAAAATAATTAAAAGAAATGACGACATGACAAATTTGCAAAAGTAAACACGACAGAAGTAAGATTCTTCAGAAAGATTTCAAGTGATC